AGGAGCAAAATCAGACGCGCTCGTTTTCTCAGACACTTGCAGAAAAAGGCTTCCCAAAACAAAGTTACTAGGTTAATCTTTTTCACGTTTCCTTGGTTGGTAGATGCGCCAGGGACCTGATTATAGCACTTAAAACCTGGAAAAGTCAGATTTTCATGATATGTCACCTTTAAGTTATCTGGCATCCCCCTTTTCTGGGGCCCCCAGTTGGGCCCCGGACCCCTGGTTGAGAACCACTCTTTTAGGATGGTTCAACATTAGCTGAGGAACTGCTGATGGATATTTTTCTCTTTGAGTGCACTGATAATAAATTATTTTCTGTTTTTTTTCCCAGAACTTCGAAGCCACAATGGAAAGGTAAGTGCTCTGCCTCCTGTCACTCTCTTCTGGCTGTGAACTCAAACCCACTGCAGACTGATCTTTCAGAGCCCGGAGCCCACAGCAGGAGCCACACATGAGTCCTGGAGCTTTGATTAATGTGGCAAATCACTTGGGCAACCTGACATTTGGAGTATGGGTGAAGATGCGAGATATTGTCCAAAAAGGTGAGTCTTTAAGTATAAATATTAGTGCTGGGTTTATAAATAAAAAATACAGATTTCTCGCGTACATCGATTCTCATTTTGATGAACCGATATCGATTCTTAAATCCCAAGACTCGATCTGTTTTCAGTTGATGCGTGAACTAAACGTTATTTGTAGCGCGTTTCCTATCAGATGTCAAATAGATGTTTGGAAGATGTCTTTAAGACGTTTATGATTTAGAATGTAAAGATGTCTATCAGATGTTTGTACACAGCAGATGAAGCGATCTTTAACAGACATCTTGCAGACGTACCTGTACTATCTGGGGTTTACAGCATAAACGAGATTTTTTCCTTGAAAAAAATTACATGTACCGTACCTGATTGCATATATATCCAAATGAATCGATATCGAATCAGATTGATTTGAAATCAAAACTGAATTGAGCCTATGTGCATACATGATACATCTCTAACTTTTGACTGTTTTGTCTCATCAGCTCCTGTGATTCTGGACCCCAACACTGCACATCCTGAACTCAGCCTGTCTGATGATCTGACCGGTCTGACATGGAGCACAGACACTCAAGCCGTTCCCGCGAATCCAGAGAGGTTTGACGTCTATCCATGTGTTCTGGGCTCTGAAGGCTTTATGTCAGGAACACATTGCTGGGATGTGGAGGTTGGCGACAATACGCAGTGGGCTCTTGGAATAACCACAGCATCCAACCCCAGGAAGGGATTCACGTTCTTTGGCAAAGATGTTTGGTGCATGTGGTACAAAAATAAAGAATATTTCTCTTATTACCAGGAGCAAGCCTACACTCCTATTAGTGTTAAAGAGAAGCTGCAGAGGGTGAGAGTTCTGCTCGACTGGGATCGAGGAAAAGTGTCATTTTCTGATCCTGTAACCGACACTCAGCTGTGCTCATTCACAACA